ATTGAAGCTAATTTATTCAAAATTGATGCTTGCAACAATTCTTTACCAAGAAATACGTTTATGGTAAAATTTTGGAAAATGGGCGTGGCACCGCCCACTTATGATCACATATAAGTATATCGGTAATCGTTCTACCAATTTGTACCAAACTCGGTGTGGTTATTGTACTTGCCACATAGAAGCAAAACGTTGAAAAATATTGAAATCGGACTTAAATAACGGCCGATTCTCATATAACGGTAAATTTAAGAAATGCTTGAAACTTCAATATTTCGAAATTGAAGGACGCTAATTTACTCAAAATTGATAACCTCGGCTTACCATCTAGCGGAAGGTTTCGGAAGGGTGAAAAAACATATATTTAATACTTGCGCCGGGTATTTAATGTTCGGCTCCGCCCGAACTTAGACTTTCTTACTTGTTGATAGAAAATTTAATATGCATATGTGATTGGAAATTAGTGAAGTACATGTCGGAGTCTAAAATAATACATATAACTACCCTGCAGGGAAAGCCACTAGCTGTGAACTAGAATTATACCAGTTCGCGTTTCAGCCCAACTAGTTCACGTTCTATCCTTTTTCAATGTTAGCTGCTGGTATTTTTAACATTGCGATGTCCTACGAGATGTCAATTGTCAGGCTAGGCCTCAGCGTCTACTAGTAGAAATACCAGTAGCACCATACCAGTTGATGAGATAGTCTGCCAATTCATCTCCCGTGAAAAGCATAAGTATGCCTTTTTGCTCGCGGCGGTCCAACAGTGGCAATGGCCGAGAGAGCAAAGCACTCGCGTGGTATGCCTGAGGTCTCAGGCCAAGTCCTGGCGCAGTGAACATATAATATTTTATTTACTTTTGTATTTATTTTTGTTTAATAAATTTTTTTATTTAGGGTTATTATTGTAATTTTAAAATTTAATTTAAAAAATATATTTTTTTAATATCTTTTTTTTATGACACAAGCATTTCTTTCCATATGTAGATATGTTTTTTTCTGCAATGCAATTCGATTTTCAAATTTGTTCTTCCTCAAACCTGCGATATCAGAACTGGAACCAGTAGTCTTCACGTCACGCCACAGCAGACATTTGTAAGAAAAGCAATTAATTACGTTTTATTTTTGGCTTTGGCAATTCAAAGGCATATGTCGCTGAACGCTTAAATTCTTCGAAATTGTCGAACTGGTAGACACATACTGGTTAATGAACTAGAATTTTTTCTAACTGGTTTGGCTTTTCACTGCAGGGTAACTATAAGTATACATGTGTGTGCGTATGTACGTTTCTATGTACCTTCATAAGCTTTTCATTTTAAAATTTCTTAGATTTGTTTTATAATTGCAATTAATTAACATTACTTTAAAATAATGAATATTAGATAATTAATTCTTAACATTTCTCTCATTATAGCATCCACCACTGAGAAGCGTCTGCGCATTGCAGTTATTGGTAGTGTTACTGCCACACTACTACTACAATAAAAACTCAAAGTCGGCAACACCCACAAGCATATTACAAAAGTTAACTGAACTCATACCAAAAACGTTAAGTGAGAGTAGTTAAGAGAGCGCCGAACTATTGTTGCCAATGCGCATTACAAATACGAACAACACACACATATTTACATATCTACGTATTTAAGTATTTGACAACATAAAGAAGTAAAACAAATAAGGATACCGACAGTTTTGGTAACGCAAGTTTTGAACATTTCACACGAAATAATCAACAAATTCGAAGCCAAATACAAAATTGGCCCATTTTTATCTGTAGGAGATCTTTCAACACAAAGCTTGAGTCAGAAAAAAGTCAAAATAGCCGCAATTGAGAGTGAACAAACAGCAAATGGCGGTGAGATGGCTTTCTCCCGCCACAACATCGAAAAAAGGCGCCTAATCGAATTGGTGCGGCTGAATTCGATACTCTGGGATTGTCGTTTGCCCCATTACAAGCGTTCTGACAAGAAGAAGGCCCTTAAATGGAACGAGTTAGGACGCGTTTTCGGCGTGAGTGGTGAGCGAGTGCAACGTACTTTCACATCCTTGCGTGAAATATTTCGGCGTGAGTTGAATCATGAAAAAATGCTGGGTGTGCGCTTCAAGTCCAAGTGGGAATACTACGATGCAATGGCTTTTCTAAAGGAAGTTATTAGAGAGCGAAAGTGAGTAGAAATTTCAGAATATTAAATTAACAATTTAACAAGCATTGCTTTTCTTAAGGTCTCGCGAGCGGAATAAAACATCCGCCGATGCTAATTTACCACAGCAACAACAACAACACAGCAATAACAATAGCAGCGCTATCGATGAATATCAATATTTCGCACCCAATGATCCTAACAATCCAAATAATCAACCGCAAATACAGATATCCGAACAACAGCAAGTGCAGCCTGCCTATCCGGCATTGCAACAGCAGCAGCAGCAACAACAACTGGGCACCTTGCCTTTGCCATCGCAGCAGCATCTTCCACAGTTACCACCGTCCAATGTACCACAACCGACACATGCACAACAAAATTCAACTGCAACAGGTCCGCTTGACACACAACAGCAACAGCATCTGCCGCAGTCAATGCTAAGTATGCAACCGGATGTGGTCCTAGGCTTAAACGGTAATGCGACCGCAACCCTTCACAATCTTGGCAATGGTAACGGTACATTAGCTGGCAATTCCAGACCACCTTCACAACAACAACAACAACAACAACAACAATTACCGCCCCAACAGCCTCAGCGGCATCAATTTCCTCCGCCTGGCAACCAAGCTCTAGTGGCCATTTCCAGTTCGCGATCTTCATCTAGCTCACCGTCAATTTACATAAAAGAGGAGCCCGATTCGCCGGACACACTCTCTCTTACCACCATAACAATCAACGAGCACGATTCGTCGTACTTGGCCCGACATGCCGAAACAAAAAACAAAAATGCTCAAAGTGTCAACTCACATGTCAAAGGTAGTATGCCAATCGGTAATAGTAAAAACAATGGTGCAATACGTAAATCGAAATCGCACATAGACCCCTCGTCAGCGAGTTTGATCATTGACGAGGACTTTGCTGGGCACGACGCCGATTTGGATGATCTCGATGATCCTGATGTGGATATGCTGGACGATGGACGTCTTTCGCCAGCGAGCACCTACACCCTAGGCATGGCGTCGAAGCCAAATCGTCTTACGGCACGTGAAATACTCTATACCAAATTTGGGGACTTCTTGGCCGCACGCCTGAATACGCTTAATGAGACTGTGGCTAACGATTTAATGAATCGCATACTACTCCTGATCGCTGAAAAGTAATGGAATAGCTGTCACAGCGTTATTCTACTCAGCAGATTTCTATATTCTCGTTTTGTGTGTTAATGACAGGCATATCTAGATACTAAATTACACATTTTAGGGTCCAACATATCTCTTTAAAATAACTTTAGGAAGCCGGATAACTCTGTGGAATAGTCATTTTAGGGCTTCAACAGAATATTGCCCAATTGGTAGTATTATACTATATATATATATATATATGTATATATATATATATATATATATATCTGTATATATATATATATATATATACATTATATTGCATGTGTGTGAGGGAAATTTATCCTGTATGAGTCTGAAATAAAACTAAAAGTCATATCAACTTGCCATATGTATGAAAATAATAAATACGCAGGTATGTTTTTACGCTTATGTCCGTAAGTATGTATGTATATTAGAGTAGTCCAAGTTTTGTTTTTGGGCGAAAAGATGACATACAGTAAACGGGGCATCCTTCAGTTCAGTGTTGTATTGTAACCAATACAAGGTGCCCAGTGACCTTGAAATATGCTTCTGAATCCCTGTGAAACTTGGCGAAACTATTGGTGACTTTTCATAAAAAGTGACTGTCGTCATAACCACTGAACTTGTAATATTTTAATAGCTAATTTTAATTTGAAATGCTCTTAGGTTGCTTAACTAATTTTTCGGTTAATATATGTATGTACAATATACTTCTATGTAGAGTAAAATATTAACATTACATGAACATCCTCTAAATGTGTACTTAGAAACGTTAAGTTTGGTGCTAGCATAGGGCTGACATAAGCCTGAACCCATCGACCAGGACACGTTAATACGGTGCCAATATATTTCTTGTGAAAACATTTGATTTGGTTCTGGCGTTGTATTATTTTGAAATAATTTCTAAAATTATAAGCAATGTAGTTTGTGGCACAATCCGTCGAGTTTTAAAATATTTGGCGCCTTTAACGTGGCCTTGAATGCTTGCCTTACCAACATTAGCAAATTTCCACATATCCTATAATGTGCTTCATGATCATTTTATTCAATTTGGATATGCATAACTACAAGATAATTTAGGTAGGCTATCTTAAGTGCTGGCATTCTAAAAGACTTACCCAGTAAGGGCTGAAAAAAGTGCTTCCCTGCATGCCTCCTGGAAAAGGTTTTCCTGTTTATAATTTACACGAATGTATATGTTTATATAGCTTAGCATTACAAATGAAATTCAGTAAGCATTTTAAGACTCAATGAAATATACATACATATTTGATACCAGATCGCCATAACCCGCTTCGCTGAGGTCGCTTAGGTGTCAATCAATAAACTATGCCAAAAACAGGAGATTTAAAAATGTTTAACCATCTTCAAAATCAAATCCTCTCTCTTGTGTTACTTTTTCAATTATTAGATTAAAACAGGGGACAACCTCTTTACATGGAGCTCAGAAATGAATCCCTTTCAAAACCATTTCGATTGATACTCATATTGTAATACTCATTGAAATTCTTGAATAACTAGTTTGAATTCAACTTTCTAAACAGTTGGCAACCTTTTTAAACCTCTTTAGACACATGATTCAATAATTAAAGGTTTACTCATAAGTGACATTAGAGTTTT